AGCATTTAAAAAAAAAAAAGTTGCCAGCCACCTCCAGCATATTCGATAATTTTTACAAAATTTTCATGGCCCCCAGAATTTTATTCTCCCTTCATATATTATTTTATTAATCAACACTTGAAAGTTGGTACATTTCATAAGAAAAGCAACATTTTGAACAAAAAGCTGAGAATTTATTTATTTATTTTTTTTGTCAAAGACTACATCTGGATGGGATTCAGATCGATGATTAAAACGTAGATGGAGTAGATTGCTTCCATCAAAACCCCCAAAGCTTGCACAGTCCTAAACTACTTCCTGAGTCATCATTTCATTCCGTAACATTAGGCAGTTTTGATTTATATGCCGTTTAATGTTTGATGATTGCATTATTTTACATCTGCTTATATATACGCGTTTGCTTGTTTCTGATTCTTCTTCGCTGTGTTTTGATCCAGAGATTTGGTACTCTTTCATAAAATGTGTAATAGCACCTCCTACCGTATAACAGTGAAAACACGGAAAGTGGGAAAAATTCTGTCAATGGTGGGGAAAGAGTTAATTGAACATTTTTCTATATAGATTATGCTGTGCAGTATGGAGTACCACAAGGCTCAGCACGAGGACCGCTGCTTTTCACGCTTTACATGAACCCTTGGGAGATATCATCAGGAAACATGGTGTTAGCTTTCACTGTTATGCTGATGATCCTCAGCTCTATATTTCTTCACGGACCAACAAAACATACCAATTCGTAAAACTAACTTCTAATTCGTAGAATGCATAGTTGATATAAAAAACTGGATGACTAGTAATTTCCTACTGCTAAATTCTGAAAAAAAAAAAGATGTTTAAATTATTGGACCAAAAACCTCAGCATGCAATAACCTAGAACACCATCTAACACTTGTTGGCTGTGCTGTCAATTATTCGTCATCAGTTAGGAACCTAGGTGTGCTGTTTGATAGCAATCTTTCCTTTGAAAACCATGTTTCTAGTATTTGTAAAACCATCTTAAAAATATATCTAAATTACGACCTATGCTCTCAATGTCAAATGCAGAAACATTAATTCATGCGTTCATGACCTCAAGGTTAGATTATTGTAATGCTTTATTGGGTGGTTGGTTGCTCTGCGCGCTTAATAAACACACTCCAGCTGGTCCAAAATGCAGCAGCTAGACTTACTAGAACCAGGAAGTACGACCATATTAGCCCGGTTCTGTCAACTCTGCACTGAACTGACTTTAATTGAAAAATAGACTACTTACTATTGTCCTCTTGCATTATCGATACATTATTTTCCTGTTTAACATTGTAAAGTTACTTTGACAATCTGTATTGTATAAAGCACTATATAAATAAAGGTGACTTGACATGATATATAAACTACATTTTATAAATGCCTATGCTAACATGAAATACATACATGTAAGGTTAATGTAATGAAGATACTAAAATAGCTATAAGAGATCATTTGTGGCGAAATTACCATAGTTATATTTGAGAACAACAGGAGACATGCAAAGGCTTTTATCCCTGCAAGTACTGGATTGAATACATCCAGAAACATTACATCATCTCCTCTAGAGCTGTCCTTTAATGTTTATCAAAGGCTGCCAAGAGCCATTTGTCATCCATATTGTCTTAATATGGTCTTAATAAAATCATGACGTCTTCTTTCCTGGCCTCATTTACACAAAGAACTATTTTCAGAGTCTGAGGATGATAATACAAGCATGAATATTGAAAAACAGTTCATATTTCATGGACCTAACAGTGGTATCTATGCAATATTTGGAGTGGTTGAGCAATAGTAAAGCTTACCTTAGCAAACGCCACTAATAATTACATTCCATACTTTATAAAGTGTCTTATATTGATATTAAGTAGTCTATTTTTAGAAATTTTTAGAAATGCATCTTTTCTAAATCAAAGGTGCTGTCTCAGCTTGATGGCCGTGTTAACTTTCCATGTCACGTGTGACACATTTCTAATTTAAGCTTACCAAAAATCACTAAATGTGATACAAGGAGGTCTTAAGCTTTAAAAGTGACAGACGCTTCAGCGCAAGCAGCCACATAATCAAAGATTTGCAGAAGTGGTGAAATTTCCACAAATCCTGACTGAAATAAATTTGAGCTTCTTTTAACTGCTGACATATTTGGATCAAGCAGCTTAGTAAGAAGTGAGAGGGGAAAAAAAAGATAAGCTTCACATAGAAAACTGCCTACTGTGAGGATTTCTACAGAACTTCGCTGTGACGGTCGTTATTAACCAAAAGTAATTATTATAGAGAGTGACAAAAAAGTTGGCTATGGGATGCAAAACATGTCTCGTGTTTTCTTATGGTTTGATCTCTAGATGCCGGTTAAAGCACATGCCTTTGGCAACCAGCAGATCCTTTGTGCATCATGACATAATTTGATTGACAGCAGGAGATTCCTGTCGGACCAGTGCATAGCACCTGCACAAACGGTTAGCATTACATCTTTAATGTTTTTCCTCAGAAGTCGTGCAGATAAGGATGGGCATTTTGAGTAATTTTTACTATCTATAATGTTTATTTATATATTTATAATATTTACAATATTTAACGGGGTCATATGATGCAATTTAAATTTTTCCTTTCTCTTTGGAGTGTTACAAGCTGTTCGTGCATAGATAAGATCCCTAAAGTTGCAAAGACTAAAGTCTCAAACCCAAAGAGATATTCTTTATAAAAGTTAAGACTCGTCCACGCCCTCCTAAAACGGCTCGTTCTAACACGCCCCCACATGTCTACGTCACTGTGTGGGAAGATTTGCATAACACCGCCCAAATGTTCACGCAAAGAAAGAAGGCGTAACTTTATTGTTGCTGTAGTATTGTTGTTGCCGCTGTAGACGCTGTGTGTTTCGTTGTGAAAGCGAAACTACTTTGTTTAGCCTTCCAAAAGAGGACACAACTAGAAATCAGTGGTTAAGTTGTATTTACAACACTGTTCCAGAACAGTTCAACCCAAATATTCAGATGTGTCCAG